AATTTTTTTCATGTACTTATTATAATAAATTAGTTATTGTTACTTCGTTAATTTATGTTACCTATTTTTTTTTAACTATCGAATTATGCCCCCTGTCCCTGCCTATCCGAATCTCTACCTACCCGTATTCTACTCTATAGATCTACCTATCCATTTTCTACCTACCCGTGTTTCAACATAATGAACCTACAAATCTTTAATTAACCGCGACGCGATTTTCTAGGGGGTTGACTTGGAGTTTAACGCGCTCGCGGGATTTAATAGGGGTTTCACTCTCGCACATATGCGAAAATATATGTAAATAGAAGTATAACCCACCCGAATTGTAGCAAATGAAAAGAAATCATAATCCATCAGAGTGGCCAATATCGACCACTTAACCTCGTCGTATTTAGTGTTCCCTCGTTGGGCCAGATTGGACATACCTTTCGTTGCTCCTGGCCATACAATCTGGTCATTTTAACCAGAGATCAGGAAGGAAAAACTCCTTCTATAGTCGGTTATCGTCACCGACAAATATTTCGTATGGTTCAAATTTACGAGAGTCGATCGTATCGAAAAATGCATGATCACGAGAAGTTAATTAAAGAAGAATATTAATTCAAAAAACTTTAATGTATGAACGAATCAAATTTATTTTTACTTGCGTTATTTATTCAAAAATATTAACTATCTCTTCGTAACTTGATCTTTGAATTTTAAATTCAAGTAGGTATAGAAACAAATTTATTTCGCGTTAGAATGATTTTAATCATATTCCACGATAAATTAAAATTTATAATGTGAATAAAATTAAACAATTAATAATTTCTGGAAAATTTTTCTGGAAAAACCGATCGCGAAAACCGACCGCGAAAATACAAAGATGCGTGTGACTGCATGTATTCATGCGAGACGCATCTTGAAAGTACATATATCACGTATGTACATACGCAGGGTTGGGGAAGTTACTGTATAAAAGTATCTAGTTGCAGTTACAGTTTTTTCGCTAAAAATGTAACTAGTTACAGTTACAAGTTACCAATTCTGAAAAGTAACGCGTTACAGTTACAGTTACTAAAAAAAGTAACGAATCGTTACTTTGCAGTTACTCTCTTGCAATGAAAATAAAAATATTAAATCTGCGTTTGAATTGTAAAGTGTCGATAAAAGCGTTTATGTGCAAATGCAAGACCTAATGCGATCTGTAGAGGTTTAAAATATACATAAAATAACCCTTACTGTAACTGAGTTAATTTACAGTTACAGATGGAGAGAAAGTAACGAAGTTAAGTTAAAGTTACCAAAAAAAAAGGAAACTGAACCTGTAACTTCTACTTCCCAACCCTGCACACACGTACATACACAAAATAAATGATGTGAGATCTAGAAAAACGAAACTTTTGGTAATTGTGCATAAAAGCGACTTCCTCTCCGATTCGCTTGATTTTTAAATATGTTGTTGGGGATGTCTTCCCGAGTAATTTCATATATATATATAAGGGTCGGACTCAA